CTTAATTACGTGCTGTTCCGAGAAGTTATCGTTTAAACATTCCTTACCTTTTTGTTAGGTTCTTCTGATGAGTCGGTACAATAATGATGTAGAAAGTCTGGTGAGGCAAAATCATACCAGCAGTAACAAAATCCCCTTCTGCCTGCTCATGGGCTCGGCAGGTGGACTGCAAGGCTCCCCCACGACTCCCGGGTCGGAGCCATGACCCCATCAGCGCTGGCTGGGCCGGTCACTCCCTGGAAGCCCGCGCAGCTTTATAAGCGGAGCTTCCTCGATGGGCGGTCGAGGACCACAGCATCAGAACCACAGTGAAGACACGGTTTCAGCTGCTCTTTATTGGTTGGCAGTGTCTCCACACCTGAAATCAGGTAACGCTTGGAAGGCTTAGGGAAAAGGGCACCTGGCGGTAGAGGTTGAAACAGGACTCGAGAGAGGACTGAAGGACGGCTCCACCGTCTTTGGTTTCAAACCAGTCTCCCTCCCTCTGGCAGATGGCGAAATGGCCAGAAGTTTTTTGCAACTCTTTCTATCAAAATCTGGGCCTGAGCCAGTGCCCTGCTGTGGCTGACTGCATACTAAAGGTGCACCCAGAGACTCGCGGGGTGCTCCAGCACCGGGGCTCATGCCTCTTGTTGCGGGTCCACTTCGCCAGCATGTGAGTGAACCATGTCACCCGGCCACACGGCAGATGCAAGTCTGCAACTCCATCACACAACTGCCGGACACGTGGGTGCAGCCATCGGGAGGAGCAGCGCCAGTGGAGTGGGGCCAGGCCAACACCCTGCCCAGTCAACCCACGGACCAGGAGAAAGGCTGAACGTTTTCCAAGTCACTAAGTTTTAGGGGGGTGGGCTACCCATCAAAGGCTATCTGATGTGCCCTCCATATCACACTCCGTCGGTTGAAGGCAACACTTCAGGCTGGATTCTGACCAAGCCCGTGGTCAGAATTTGTCTTCCTGGCTCCTTAGCTTCCTACCAACCTGTTCCTCGTGACCCATTTCTGCCAGTTCTTCCCTCTGGGTCACCCTGCCCCCGTGTCCGGGTCCCCTCCAGAGACCCTGTCTCTGGGTCTGCTAGTCTCCTGTTCCACCGGGGCCTGCCTTCCGCCTTCCTCAGATCCTGGCTCGTTTGGGGAAGCCTGACCAAGAGGAAATAGCCCCAGATAACAGAGCCACAGCCCCGCCTAGCAGGGGATGTACGTGGGTGATGGCCCCACGTAATGATGCCTTAGCCCACAGAGAGACGGAGGCAGGCTCCTGAGGGGCACCTGGCGTTGATGGGGACCCAGGTGCCAGGCATTACGCTGAATGCCTGGCACATTATTTCTTTTAATCCTGGCACAACCCAGAGAGGTGGGAATTGACAGACTGGAAAACTACTACTATGAGGGTGCAGGGGTTTGAACTGTGCCCCTCCCCGCAATTAACATAGCCCCTGGCACCGATGAGTCTGACCTTATTTGGAAATGGGTTCCCTGTAGAGATAATTAAGTTAAGATGAGGTCCTGTGGATTAGGCTGGGCCCTCATGCAGTGACTGGTGTCCTTATAAGAAGGAAATTTGAACACAGAGACACTCAGACGAGGAGGCCATGTGGCAGTGGAGGCAGATGTTGGGGTGGTGCAGCCACAGGCCAAGGAAACCCAAGGGTTGCTGGCAGCCACCAGAATTGGGAAGAGACAGGGAAGGGCTCTCCCCTGGAGCCTACAGGCCCCGCAGACTTGCTGACTTTGGCCTCTGGCCTCCGGAGGTGAGAGAGAGTAAACTCCTGTTGTTCGAAGCCACCAGGCTTGCGGTGCATTGTTGCGGCTGCCACTGGACGTCGATGCAGAAGGTCTGTAGCCCACACAATCAGGGAGCAGAGAAACCCGGAGGGGCTCAAAGCCAGTCCTGCCAGGCTCTTTCCAGAGCAGGTGGCCTCTGGGGGCCCCTCCTCCTGCTGGCGGGAGCTGGACAGACCAGGAGGGCAGGAGCAGCCAGGTCTGGAGGCCCACGGAGAGGACGCCGCCAGAGGAGGCTGGCTGGGACCTCTGGACGCCCCTCAGGTTCCCACTCGGGGTGAACGGGCCCATCCCAGGCGCTCAGGTCGTGTATAAACAGAAGGGACATTTCCGAGTGGCTCCTTCCTGACTCGTAAACTGTGGGCCGCACAACATTTATATCAGGCTGGCAGGCAGCCCTGGCCCGTGCAGCCAGCGGAGGTGTCCCCAGTGCCGGGCGCTGAGTGCCACGCTGCCAGCCGTGTCCTCCAGCTCGGCTAGCACGCATGGGACACACATCAGCCATCGACAGACGTCTCCAGCACCAACCAGCAGCAGTGAGAACGGGCAGGTTGGTCAGCCAGCCACCACCACTGAGGGATTCCTTCTGTTCCATCCCAACTGGGATTTTAAGTTTTTTGTACAATTAGTATTATAGTTTGTAAAGATTTTATTTACTTCTTAGACAGAGGGGGAGGTAGGTAGAGAAGGAGAGAAATATCAGTATGTGAGAAATACACTGATTGGTTGCCTCTTGCATGTACCCAACTGGGGAACCAGCCCTCAACCCAGGCATGTGCCACATACGACAGGGAGTCGAACCTGCAATCTTTTGGTTCACAGGCCAGCACCCAATCCACTGAGCTACACCAGCCAGGGCTAGAAAATTATTTTTAAGGAAAATAGCAGAAATTACCCCAGAGCTCTCATTGCCACAAGTAACCACCAGATGCTGAGGGGCCTGGATGCCACGCCTCGCCGCTCCAGGGGGACCCGCTGTCTGCCCCCACCGCCTCTCTCGCACCTGTCCCTTTGTTTCTTAGCCAAGTGCAAATGTTCCCTGATTTTACCCGCTTGCTGCCAGGTCCGAGAAACCGTGCCAAGGACAGACGCCAGACATCTCTGCATCGCGTTAACTTCCTTCCTGTCAGAGGGGGTGGCGGGTGGGGGGAGGCTCAGTGTGTAATAGGTGCAGGTGTTCGCGTAAATGTACACACACACACACTCACAGGACACACGAGTGTCACTGTGCCCCCGCCCCCACCGCACACACTCTGCGGGATGACTTTTCTCTCTTACATGAGTCTTTGGGGTAGCAACCGCAAATTCAAATTCATTCATTCATTCGGCAAACGTCTGAGCTCCTAACATGTATCAGTCACCAGGGCTGGTTCTGGGATGTGTGGGGACCTGGGAAATTATTTTCTGCAGGGCGCCTGTCTACAGAACAATGGGGGTCACCCCAAATCAGCTCGGGGCTGTTGGAACTTCAGCGGGAGCAGCAGGACCGTGGGTTGGGCCTGGAGGACAGCCTCCTGCTGTGGGTGTCCGCGCCGGGGAAGGCAGGAGCACCGTAGGGCCTGGTCAGCCTGCGAGTCCCCTCGGTGGTGACTGTAGGTGGACAACGCTCCCTCATTCTCACAGCTGATGGCTGAGACCAGTCCTCAGGGCCCACTGCTGCCTCTCCCTGACGGGGATGGACGTGTCCCCCCCGACCTCCAGTCTCCAGTGTGGCTGAGCCCCACTGTTCCGCACAGACACCCCAGGGCACCTGCAGCCCCATCCCACCCCGCCTCTCCGCTGCACCTGGACGCCTCTGTCACATCGTCCCTACCTCCTCTAGAGTGTGGGTCACGGAGGCTGGAGAGCTCCCCCCACTCCTCCTGGTGCCCACTGGTCTTTCAGAGGGGACTCTGGAGCTACCCTCAGGCTCTTCCTACAGGTTCCCAGGTGTCCTGTGCGACCACAAGCAATGCAGGAGGGTGGAGCTTCACGACAATCTTTTATTCGCTGTTTTTCCCACTGGCCTGGCTGTGAGCTCTGAGGGTGTGGCCCATAAGGCGCCTGATCCAGAGGGGGCACCAACCCCATTTAAGGACCAAAGGGAGGAGGGAAGGCAGGAGGGCAAGGGGCATGGTGGTCCTACCACATAGGCTAGGCCAGCAGAACAATGTTGCTGTCCAGCTGGAGTGGGAGGGCTCCACGTGTTTTTAAAACAAAAAGCAGCCCTGGCTACTGTGGCTCAGTGGACTGAGTACCGGCCTGCGAACCAAAGGGTCACCAGTTCGATTCCCAGTTAGCACAAGTCTGGGTTGCAAGCCAGGTCCCCAGTAGGGGGTGTGTGAGAGGCAACCATGCATTGATGTTTCTCTCCTTCTTTCTCCCTCCCTTCTCCTCTCTCTAAAAATAAATAAGTAAAATCTTTTAAAAAATAGAAGAAAAAGCAGGCACATGACCTGGGAGAGGATTTTCTCCTACTTGAGGGTGTGAGTAGCTCTCAGAAGAGATGGAAAACCTCTCAGCTCAAAAATGAATTCCAGGAGGACGGGGAGAAGCATTCTGGAACCCACCCAGAGGGCGCGAAAGCTCCGCGGAAACAGCCGACCAGGTCAGGTGTGCAGATCCCCTGGAAAGGTCATTTCCAGAGTGGACGCTCTCTGGCGCTTCCTTTGTCCCTAGAGCGGGCATGGGCGGAGCCCACAGCCCTGGGAGGCGCTGGGGAGTGTAAAGGCAGGGGGCGAGCATGGCCCCTCAAACAAGCCGGGGTTGGGTGTCCCTCTGCGGGCTCAGGGCCATCCAGAAAGCCCCCGTGCTCGTCCCAGAAACACAGGCAGGAAGGAAAGGAGAGCTTCTCCTTTGCACGAGACACCCTCCAGTGCGCTGAGTCACTGAGGCTCCTTTTCTCGTCTGAGTTACAGCCGAGACTCAACGCCCACCTCTCGTAAATGGGCGCAGGATGTGTGCGTCCTTGTGTGGTCTTTTGTCTTGCCTGCAGGGCGACCGGCTGCCCCAGGCCTTCACCTCCCTGCACAGGCGCCAGCACCCTGGTGCAGCTCACAGACACGGGACACGCAGCACATCGACCCGGCAGGCGGTCTGGCTGCACCTGCCAGCACGCGCAGCATCCCCGCCTCCACGGGGAGCGAGGGAGGGCTTCCATGGTCTCTCAGACATACCACTCCACCAAAGAAAAAGTACAGTACCCATTTCTGTATAAGAATATATTATTTAAAAGGCAGTTTAAAAATAAAAATTCTGTACAGCATCATGAATTTCGTTTTCTTGTTATCAGTGAACAAAGTGGTTCTTAGAAAACGTGGTCGTGGAGTGCCAGGGGTCAGGGTCAGCTCTTCTCTGGGTGAAGGTCTCTCCGGTCAGGCGGCCCGGCCCCGAACACCCACGGGTGCTCCCGCCTCCTTCACGCACGGTCTGCTGGGAGGGGAGAGTGATCATGGGTTTGTTTTTGCTAGGACTGCAATGTGCAGGCGATGTGGCAAATGTCACAGGATTAGACACAGACTGTGTTTGAAAAATGAGGCCATCGGACATATTGTTGAACATGTTTAGGCAAAATAAAACAACTGTGATCCCTTTTCCAAGCCATTCAAAACTATGATGGGACTTCAAAACGAAAAGCCAGCTTTGGCTGCGTGATCTGAGGCACCAGCACTCTGCTCGGTTGGTCAGTTGCTAAAACAACGGCAGTGAGGGTGTGAGTACCTTCGCTTTGGCTCAGAGAGTTTGGGCTTCCTGCACAGGTCACGGAGCTTGTACTTAGCAAAGCCTGGCCCCAGGGCTTGGTTTGTCGAATGCTAGTGCCTCTGCTCCCCTTACAAAACCAGACCCATTTCTCACGCCCGGCATCTTGAATGCTCTATAAACTGAGACTCTCTCAAACAGTCCTTTAGACACCTGCATGGTATAACCTTATTATTCGGCCAAATGAGCTGGGGTGCCGTCCGCATGGACTGAGCTGAATGGCTAATGTGCACAAGGGCATGGGGACACCAGCATAGCAATGCTAGCAAACACTTTCTCCGTGAAAAGCTTTAAAGAAGCTTTAAAGTAGCTTCCTCTAAAAGTGGTACCCACCCTAATTACTGACCTTTTTCTATTAACCAAAGCACACCCCCCTTCCTTCACAGCCTAATGCTAATCATTATAAACAAGAAAGAGTGTCACTTATTTAAAAAGATTTGGTATTCAGGGTTCCTCCCGCCTTCCTCCCCCCCTCCCCAGATTCCAAGCGTGTCTCAGTAATTCAGTGGGAATTACTGAGCCACCGACGCAGAAGGGCATTACCTTCACTTTTTTTCGCATCTCTGCTTTTCTCCCTCAGCTTGTCGGGGCCCCCATGTGCCCGGCTCTCGGTCTCCTGCAACCAGGACAGAGCACAAAGAAGGCAAAGGTCAGGCTCTGGGGACACTGAGTGACTGCCATCTGCTCAGTAGCTCTCCGTTGACATGAAGGGGCTGGAATGCGAGGCAGAGACAAACGCCCACGGGCTCGCTGTGCCGGGACGTCCACGAGAGCTGTTCAGATGTAGTTCTGTGCACGAGCTGCCTTCCTGCTGCGGGAGGCCTCACCCAGCGCGGTCACTGTTGGGCGCTTGCACAAGGTCACGGTGGACACAGCCCTGGGGACTGGTGGTGGGGACTGGGGAGTCCATGGCCCTTTTACCTCCTTTTCGGGTCTGTCCCTTCTGGGGAAAAGAAGGTGCCTTGGAGGATCCCAGTGGCCCCCACTGAGCGGCCAAGACTGGGACTTGGGAGACCCAAGGCCTCATCGAGATGGCTCGTGGATGGCCCGGGAGGGCCAGGGCCCTGTAGCTCTCCTGCAAGGGGCCTGGGCAGGGGTGGGGGGGCACCTCTTCTGACATCTGTTGCCTTTGTCATTTGCTCTTAAGCTTTTAGCATTTCAAGACCTGTGACATTTTGCTAGAATCTAATTAGAGAGCAAGGTGGCTGGTCTGCGGTCTGCTTGTACACATTTACAGAGCACCTACGACAGGCCCAGCATTGCACCAAGTAGGCTGAGAGGGACAAGAGGAATGCAGGATGAGCCTCAGTGGTGTGTGGTAGGAGGGCCCAGTGGCAAAGACATGGGGGGGACACTGTAACGGGGGGACCCTGGCTGAAGTGAGCAGTGAAGAAGACATGGTACAGGTGGGGTGATGCGGTGAGGGCAGCCAAGGCCAGATGGGGACAAAGCATGAGGCAGTAGGGAGACCAGGCTGCCCTGGGACCTCTGGAGAGAGGGGAGGCCACACCTGGGGTGGCTGGGGGTCAGGTGGAGAGGTCCTGGGGTGGTCCCAAGAGGCAGGGGGCCCTGGTGCAGCAGTTTGCGCAGACCGGCTCAAGAGGCTTTGTGGAAGGCCTGTACCCCAGCTGTGAGCCTGGGAACTGTATCAGTGCCCAGGGCACCCTAAAGCCAGGCCTGGTCTGTCCCTGGACCCTGGGAGGGGCCGAGCTGCCCTGTGTGAGAGTCCTTGGCCTGGAGCTGCGACATGGTGGTGGCTTTTCCCTCACCAGGGGGAGCGTCTCTAGCCACAGCCCTCTCCTGGAACCAGGTCTGTACTAGGGCAGGCAGAGGGGAGGGAGGACAGGGCAGGGTGCCGCCCGGCGGGGAGGGAGGCGCTGTGGCTGTGGACACTCGGTCACATCCCAGATGGGCAGCATTATTCCGATTTGACTGACGTGGCTTTTTTGGGGGTGGGTGTGAGCGCCCGACCAGAGGGGCCACCTCAGTGCCACCAGCAGGGAGGGGGAGGGGGTGGCCTCCTGGCCCGAGGGGGCCCACACGTACCTCTGTCTTGGCGTCGTCTATCTGCTTCAGCTCCTCATACCGGTCTCTGGATTCCCACAGGGGCTGCAGCATGCTTTCCTCAATCACGGGGAAGAGCTGGAGTGGGGCACAGACCCAGTCAACGGCCTGCCGCCGAAGCGACAGGAACGTTTGGGGGAAAACAGGTGGCAGGTCCCGTGTCTCGGTGGACTTCGAAGGACACGGGCCTCCAACCGGCACTTTTGGGGCCCCTAGGGGTGCTGCCTGCTATGGGATCCGGGGTGACAGAGGTTCTGATGCTGTCCAGGCAATGGCTCCTCGAGCCCCTCCCACCTGCTACCTGCCCACCTATTTCCAGAGTCCCTGATGTCTCCTGCTTGTCATAGGGGCCTGGTAGAAGCCACCCCCTCCCTCTACCTCCCATGTCCCCCCGACTGTGCTGTGGTGTTTACGACGCACTCTCCCATCTTCCAAATGCCACCCTCATCCACTAGGCCCCTGATAGTCCCAGAGCCCGAGGGGAACCCACTTGCATCCGCCCCCCGGCCTGACGAAGGGGCTCTGACCCCCTGTCTATTCGCCCGGCGGACTGTCCCCAGTCTCTGAGACTTAGCTCAGGGGTGCGCCTCCCCGTGGCGCCTTCCCCAGCCCCAGAGCCCTGGGTGCACAGCCTCTGCCAGGACACTTCTGGGCTTCTGCGGTCGCACCTCTGCCCCACCGTGGGGGAGGGCAGTGCCGCTGGCCTGCCATGAAGGTGGCGTTTCTGGAGAGAGTGCTCTGCACAAGAACGCAGCTCCCAGAGAAGTGACAGTGCTGCGGGGTTCAAGGGAGGACGTGCTGGGGGAGCTCTGGAAGGCTGGTGGGAACAGCAGGGGGCTGAGGCTGGGACGCCCCAGGGGGAGGAAGGGTGGCCTCGGAGATAGAGGCTGGAAGAAAGGTGGGGAGGAGGAGCTTCGGGAAGGCCATCCTGCAAGACAGAAGTGCTAGAGAGGCGGGGGGACCATGGCCCTGCGTGGGGCACTGGGGAGCCATGGACTCTTCAGGGCAGAGGTGGAGACAGTCTCCTTGCTGAAGGTTGGCCTGGCAGTGCCATGCAGGGTGGAGTGGAGTGACACAGAGATGGGGACCAGTTAGGAGGTTCTTTGGAAGGGATGGTGAGAGGAGTGGACGGGCTCATGGCTGGTGTGCAGGGCCCCTGAGTGCAGGGCCTGGGTGGCTCTGAGCGGTGCTGTGGCACTGTGCAGGGGGCTCCACGGGAGTGAGCAGGCCATCCACGCCGGCCCAGACGGGGAAGCCGGGAGGCTCAGAGGCTGTGCTGCTGGGTGACAGGTCACCCAGGGAGGAGCAGGGACGAGAGGTGGGAGGGGAGGAGTGAGGATGCATTTTGGGCACACTGGTGTTCAGGTGGGGGGGCACTTCAGGTAGGGTCTCTGACAGGCAGGCAGTGACAGCTCATGTGCATGTGTGTATAAGCATGCGCATGCATGTGGGTACAGGCACATGTGTGCACGTCTGTGCACTAGTGTGTTTCGTGCTGTTATGTCATCCAGGGCATGGTGACGGCCACTCACCTTGGCCACTGTCTCAAACATTGGGATGAGGACGAATTTGATGAATCCAATTTGTGCTGTGGCTTTGGTCACTTTGTCCCGGTCCATGAAAGGGGCCACAGGAAGGCCTTCCGACTTCTCACGGTCACTCTGGGGAGAGCAGCGTGGACGGCGACATTAAGGAAAGAAACACTTATGGAACCCGGGGGACTCTGAGGGTCACTGCTCTCCGAGGAAGAGGAAGATGAGCTGCGACACCACAACCAACCAAACCACTCTGCATTGCGTAAATTAGTAGTCACGATTACTAATCATTGGAAAAAGACAGTAATATCCTGAGTGCTAACAGGGTGTTCGCTGGATGCACGGGGCCGTGCCTTGAGGGGAGGGGGCAGGTAAAGGTTGATCAAGCGGGTAACAAGGTTGCTCAGTGGCAGAAGCAGCTTGTGGAACCCCCGCTCCGTAGTTTCTTGAGGTTCACCAAGCTGTTGTAGTCATAGCTTATTATCCCTTACAGCACTTTCCAGGTTGGCTGGCCTGGCTTTCTGTGTCCGAACCTGCCTGGGACCCCCCTGGAGGTCCCCCCGCCTCTGCAGTTCTTCTTGACCTTCTGCTGTCTCTCCACCAGGCCCACTCCCTGAGCGGCTCCATCGGTGCTACCAGGCGGCAGTTTGACAAACACTTCCGCGTTTCCAGGTCATCTCTGTCCTTCATGTCGCAGATTACAGCCTCTGCCACTTCTGATGGGCGCCTGCGGTGAAGGCTTTCTGGAGGCAGGAGAAATGCCCGCCGCTCCAACTGCTAGTCCACGGCGGCCCGTCTGTCACGTTCGCACAGGGACCCCGTGGAAGGGGCTGAGAAGAGTGACAGGGGCTGAGTGCTGTGCACCGAGCGCTCACACAAAGCACTCTTACCTGCATAAAGTATTCTTCTAACAAGCAGTCCACCCAAGGCTCGGAGACTTCCATCGGACGCACCTCGTTAGAGATGTCACAGCATTTTATCAAGATCATCTTCAGCTGCAAGAAGAGATGTGGCATCAGGCGGTGGCGCACAGACCAGGACGCGTCCCTGCTCGGGCTGGACTGCCACCCAGGAGAAGAGTGGGTGGGTGGGCAGTGCTGGCCGGGGGGGCTGAGCTTTGCCGCCCCCTCCAAGGTCTGGCCAGGTCACCTGTGGTGGGAGTCCTGGAGGTCTGCAGCTAGACCCTCAGCCTCAGTGGGGGAGAAGAGGGAGTCACTGCTCCCCCACAGGCTCAGGATGTTTTCCTGGAGAGATCCGAGGGATAAAACAGCCCATTTAACCCAAGGACATTCTGTCCCATGAATGTACATGGTAAAGGTCAAAGGTGAAGGCACATATCTTCTTGATTATCAGAGAGACAGACAAAGTGTGGAGAGGCATTGTTAGTGATGAATAATGGGCCCACTGCAGACAAGCTGCTAAATTAGTAAGATCACGTTGCCTACAGTGTTCTAACCAGCCCGGGAACTGCCACCTGAGCTTCCCGGTCCTGCGTCAATGCCTGGACACACATCAGACCTCCAGTCCCTCTCTGACTGATTACCTCTGAAGGACCAAGGGAAGAATTTTCACGTATCCAGACCACTGGTCACAACCAGACCTCCATGCGTCTGACTGACAACTGTGTTGGACCAATCCTGGGGCGAAGGATGCAGGACTGATTCTTCTCGAGAATGCACTTTTTGCCATAGGAACCCTTAGCTTTCCTTTCTTCTTCAGGACACCTCTGGGTTTCTGCCTAGCTGTGTTTCTGGGCTGCAAACCCTAAGACCTCTGAATACATCTTCACCATTTGTTTCTAGTCAGAGCTTCCAGACTCTACCTGAGTTCATTTGACATCAGGAAGCAGAGGTTAAAAGGGTAATAAAAGTGGATAGTGTTGGGGCCCCCAAACAACAAACGGGCACATTAGAAACATAGGCTGGAACTTCTGCCAAGATGGAGGCATAGGTGAAAACACTTTGCTTCCTCACACAACCAAATCTAAAAACAACAAAGTTTTAACAACAATAAATGCAATCAAACAACAGAAAATCGAACAACATGGAGTCTGAAAACAACGAAATGCTGAGCTAAACTGGGGGTGAAGCCAGCAGCGGAGCGCAGGTCAGGGGAAAAGGATCCCCCCAACCCGGGCGGCGCGCAAGCAGCTGAGGGCGTGGATCCCAGGTGCAGGGTAGCTACGGGAAGGCGCGGCGCGGCTGGCTGTCTGAGGTCGTGCATTTGTGCACAGATAAACCAGTGAAGAGACGTGCATTGAGACAGACCGTGCAGGCCCCAGTGCAAGGCGGCAGGCTCACACATTTGTGCTCAGATAAACAGGCGGGGGCCAGCACTGAGGTGGACCAGGCGAGCAGAGAGGACCGCCGCCATTCCTCCCTCTTTGACCCCGCCCCCACATAAACGTCACAAACAAGAGACCTCGGTGGCCCCGCCCTGATGAACATCTAAGGCGCCTCTCCTCATACATAACAGATCAAAATATGGCTCAAGAACAACTCAAAGCCCCAGAGCCCATAAATCTAAGCAATCAAGAAATTGCCAAACTTTCAGATGCACAGTTCAAAACACTGGTGATCAGGATGCTCACAGAACTGGTTGATTTTAGTCACAAATTAGAGGAACATATGAAGGCTAAACTAATTGAAATGAAGGGAAATGCAGAGGAAACCAATAGTAATGGAAAGGAAACTGGGACTCAAATCAAGGGAGTAGACCAGAAGGAAGAAAAAAATGACCAAACAGAAAAATATGAAGAATAAAGAATTCAAAAAAAGGAGGAGAGGCTTAGGAACCTCCAGGACATCTTTAAATGCTCCAACATCCAAATTATAGAGGTACCAGAAGGGGAAGAGGAACAGTCACGAGTAGAAGCCTTATTTGAACAAATAATAAAAGAGAACTTCCCCATTCTGGCAAAGGAAATAGACTTCCAGGAAATCCAGGAAGCTCAGAGAGTCCCAAAGAAGTTGGACCCAAGAAGGAACACACCAACGCACATCATAATTACATTAGCCAAGATTAAAATGAAGGAGAGAATCCTAGAAGCAGCAAGAGATAAGGGGACAGTCACCTACAAAGGAGTTCCCATCAGACTGTCAGCTGATTTCTCAAAAGAGACTTTACAAGCAAGAAGGGGCTGGAAAGAGGTATTCCAAGTCATGAAATCCAAAGACCTACAACCAAGATTGCTCTATCCAGCAAAGCTTTCATTTAGAATGGAAGGACAGATAAAGTGCGTCTCAGATAAGATCAAATTCAAGGAGTTCATCACCACCAAACCCTTATTATATGAAATGTTAAAGAGACTTATCTAAGAAAAAGAAGATAAAAAAGATGAACAGTGAAAGGACAGCAAACTCACAGTTATTAACAACCACACCTAAAACAAAAGCAAACTAAGAGGACAGCTAGACCAGGAGTGAACCATAGAAATGAAGATCACATGGAGGGTTAGCAACAGTGGAGTGAGAGGAGGAGAAGGAGGGAGAAGGCACAGGAAATAAGTAGCATAGACAGTAGATAGAAAATAGGGGGGAGGGTAAGAATAATAGGGGGAATATAGAATCTACAGAACTTGAGACATGTGTTCATGAACTAAAGGGGGGAATGGTGGGGGAGGGATGTGCAGGGTGGAGGGGAATGAAGGGGGGAATAGAACAAATGTAATGGCATAATCAATAACAAAAAATTTAAAAAAAAGAAACATAGGCTGAAGTAAAAGCAAGGAGGGCATGGCCTTGGCACCCCAATTCCCGACCCTGGCCCCAGCCGCCATCCTGGAGAAGCCCCTTCTGTACTGCATCCTTCCAGGTCCTGCTCTGGCCCCTCTCTCCAGCCTTCTGGCCACCCCAGTCCCCAGTGGTGGCCCCCTCGATACAGCCCCATGCCTGGTCACATCCTGTTTGTGCTCTTCTCTGGTTGGATGCATTTCTGGTCCTCTGAGCCTGGTGAGGTCTGGGAGTGCAAAGGTCTTTCAAAAGGAGACTTGTCAGGCCAAAGGATTCAGCCAGAGCGTTCAGGTGACCAGCCAGGTGGGTGCCTTTGGGACTAGCTGTGGCCCAAATGACTTGCCCTAGGCCCAAATGACTGTCACCTGGAATTGCCAGTGTTTGCGGTCCAAGAGGTGGCTACCAATCAGGGTCTGTGGCTGAGTTGGCAGGAGTGTCTACACAGGCTGGGGGCCCTGAATCTGCCTGGGCTGGTCTTCTAACCTGGGGTACGGGACCTGGCAAAGGACGGCTGCACACCAGCCAGGGCATGGCCGTCCCAGAGGGAACCAAATCACCAGGCCTCTGCTGCCGAGTGCCGAAGTCGCCCTCCCAGAGGCTGGTATCAGCGTGTTTCCTGGGGTGGGGTCTTCGTGGGAGAGCCAACTTTATCCTAGGAAACCAGAGCCAGATGAGTTGCCTTCACGTACTTATTATCCTCAAATCAGAACAAGGTGGAGGATAAGGCCCGCTGCCCTGAGCCATGAAGGGTGGCTTATGAGGAGAGGGCCCCTGCGAGGCAGCTTTCCCTGGAGAACTGGGGGGCTTTATCGGCACCTCACTCCAAGGCAAGGTCAGAATTTGGGTTTCTTGGTTTCCAGTCTGAGCTGGAGGGAGGGAATCATTCATCAGCAACCCTCCCCCAGAGGTAAAACAAGCCTACTTACAAGGGTCAAGTGCTCCTCATTGCTATAGTCGAAATTCTCCATTTTTTCTTTGAAGGAATCCATGATTTCTGCATGCCGTGCCATGTCAGTGGCCAAGATTAATGTGATCATGCCCTGAATTGTGAAAGAGCAAAGCGTGAACCCTGGGGCCTCGTCCCGATGATTCCCAGCGAGCGCCGGCTGTGCACGGGCTCTCTGCACACACTGCGTCACTCAGTGCTCATGCCGACTCTACGTGTGTGTCTGAGAATGACTGCCCTCACTTTCAGATACAGACACTGAGACGTGAGGAAACCGAGGAAGCTGCCCAGGCTGCAGTGGGAGAGGAAAAGCCTGGGTTCAAGTCCAGGAGGGAGCCTGACGCTCCCGAGGCTGTGTCCGCAAAGAAGCAGCAGCCGCACTCCCGCCTCCCAGGAGAGCGCACTTGGGGGCGGCCGGCTCAGCCGAGGATGATGCTTCCCCTCGCTTCAGTAACCTGGACACAGGGTGTGTCCCTTCCAGATCGTGGTGGAGGTTGAGGACCGATTTCCAAGGGTATTTTTTCCTATTGTCTGTTCCGTGTGTGATTATATGCACATCTATTGCTTCAGAACGATGGCATTCTTCTGTTTACAAATTTGTAAGCGAGGGTGCAATGAGTTCTTAACAAACATTTTATTACTTTGTTAATCAAATATTGGTTTAAAAGTGATGTAATTCAAAACCATGACCATATGACCATCCACCCATCCAATCCACTCATCCACCCATCAATTTATCCATCTAATATGTCCATCCATCTGTCTGTCTGTCTGCTCATCATCCACCCCCTCTGGCCCCTGCAAGCATTTGCAGCATCCACCCTGCAAGCATTTACAAATTACAGGACACACCTCCATCCTGAGTATGGCATGCTTTTTCAAGAAAATAGAGCCACGAGCGCCAAATGTGGAACTCAAATCAGCCAATATAGGTCATCTCAAATGCATTTGAGGGTAGGGGGTCATCACTGGTATTCTGAACGGTACAATTGCCCTGTAAAGACTTAACTGTGTAATAGGGAAGGATCTTTGCCTGTGAGGAGTTAGTCCTCAAAAATACTCCAAGACAAAATGTTATTAAAAACCAAAATGCCTGAAGTGGTCCCAGAGGCTCCTTACACTATCTTTTTCTTTTTGATTCTTTTTTTCTTCTTGTTTTTCTGATTGGTTGCTTTTCACTTCCTTATATTCCAAATCATTGATTTGATTCTCAGCTTCATCCACTCTACTGTTGATTCCCTGTAAATTGTCTTTTATTTCAACTAGTGTATCCTTCATTTCTGACCGGATTTTTTTATGCTGTGGAAGGTCCTCACTAAGGTCCTTGAGCATCCTTTTAATCAGTGTTTTGAACTCTGCATCTGATAGATGCTTATCTCCATGCTGTTTAGCACTTTTGCTGGAGGTTTGATCTGTTCTTTCCTTTGGACCATGTTTCTTTGTCTCCTCTTTTTGGCAGCCTCCTGGTGTTTGTTTCTATGTATTAGGTAGAGCTGCTGTGACTCCATGTCTTGGTAGCATGGCCCAACATCGCATCATACGGGGGCCAGAAGGAGAAGAGAAAGAGCAAGATATTAGAAATCCATTCGAAAAAATAATGAAAGAAAACTTCCCTAATTTGGTGAAGGAAATAGACATGCAAGTCCAGGAAGCACAGAGTCCCAGACAAGAGGCTTACTCCAAGACACATCATAATTAAAATGCTAAAGGTTAATGATAAAGAATCTCAAAAGCAGCAAGAAAAAAAGCAGTTACCTATAGGGAAATTCCCATAAGACTGTCAGCTGATTTCTCAAAAGAAACATTGCAGGTTAGAAGGGATTAGCAAGAAATATTTAAAGTCATGAAAAATAGGGACCTACGGCCAAGATTGCTCTACCAAGCAAAGCTATCATTTAGAATCAAAGGGCAGATAAAGAGCTTCCCAGACAAGTAAAAACTAAAGGAGTTCATTATCAAACCATTATTATATGGAATGCTAGAGGGACTTACTTAAGAAAAGAAGATCAAAACTATGAACAATAAAATGGCCATAAATACATATCTCTCAACAAGCGAATCTAAAAAACCAAGCAAACAAGAACAGAGACGGAATCATGGGTGTGGAGAGGGTTTTGATGGTTGCCAGATGGGAGGGGAGTGTGGAGGAGTAGACGAAGAGGTGAGGGGACTGAGAAGTACAAGTAGGTAGTTCCAGAATAGCCATGGGGATGTAAAGTACAGTAGAGGAAATGGAGTAGACAAAGAACTTATACTCATGACCATGGACATGAACAAAGGTATTGGGGTTGTCTGAGGAAGTGGTGGGTACTGAGTGGAGGGGAGCAAAGGGGGAAAGACTGGGACAACTGATTTTACCCTCAGAAAAAGTCTCATGTGAACATCAGTAAAGTGTTGGAGGCAGGACAACCCAGAGTGTCCCCAAGGGGGACAGCACAAGGAAGATCCTGGCTGTGGGGCAGGCCACTCCTCTAGTCAGGCACCTCCCTCCTGAGGGCGGGGGACTGATGCTGAGTCTCAGATGATTCTCTTCTCTGAGCTGTAGGTATTCCAGGTTGCTGGGTAGCCATCAGGGGCAGCTGCCACTGCAATGCAGTCTCTCAGTCTTTAGGATTTGCTCCCTTCCCTGCTTCAGAGAAAGGTTCCCTAAGGCTTATCAGAATACTGTAGGGCTCCATAAACATGGGACAGAGGCCAGAACGCCTAGAGATAAGGGGAGAACTGCACCAGGAACCAGCGATTCAATGACAACAGTGATTAAGCACTGTACTTAGCTCTGAACTTCCTGGAAGCGAGGACCAGTGGGGAAACAATGGTTTACGAAGCTGTTTTCTGATAGAGTGAAGCTTATCAGCTCCCCAGAAGGAAGGCGAGTGTTTCCCAATACTGGATTCTAGACTGTTTATCATGTGCCTCTTCATGCAAGGCTATGGGGACATCAGATGGGTGAGGTTTTTGTCCGTGGACTGTGACAGCGTGGCTCCTGCTGACACTGATGGTGGCCCCTGTACTAGTGTCCAAGGCTGCTATGCACACAGCCTGGTGAGTGAGAAGATCAGAAAAGGGTTCTCAGCGTTCTGGGGGCCGGAAGTCTGAAATCAAGGTGTTGGCCTGGCCCCATTCCTTCTGAGGTTCAAGGGGAGAAGCCCTCCTGCTGCTTCCAGCCTCTGGTGGCTCCCGCGTTCCTTGGCTTGTGGCCACATCAATCCAGTCTCTGCCTCTGTCATCTCAGGGCCTTGTTGTCCATGCCTGTGTCTTCTCCTCTTCCGTCTCTTATAGAGACACTTGTCACTGCATTTAGGGTCCACCTAGATAGCCCAAGCTAATCTTATCTAGAGATCTTAGCTCAATTATGATTGTGAAAACCCTTTTTCCAAATAAGGTAATATTCTCAAGGTCCGAGGTTCAGGAGGTGGACATTTATTTTTTGGCAGGGAGTTGGCTATCATTCAACCCACTATATTCCCCTAAGGGATCACCTTGATATCTTCCCTCCCCTGCAAACGCCAGGGGCTGGAGGGTGGAGTCATGTTCTGTGGGACCTCCGGTGTAAAGGGGGTGTTATTTGGGGTGAGTCAGAGGTGTCTGCCTCGGGAGAGGAGGCACGCTCACCCTCCTCCCCAAGCCCCCGCGAGGTGGGAAGGTCCCTTAATCTGACGTGGACAGTGGGGCTGACTGGGTCCTGGCGCGGCCAGGGAGAGCAGCTGGGGGCTAGGGGACAGTGGTCGGGCCTGCCGTGTACTCCTGCTCCCTGGGCAAGTCCCCCAAGGCTGTGAATCTCACTCCCTGAGGCTGAACTGGAGAAAGGACTTATCTCGAAGGTTAGCTTCAACCGAGGCTGCGAAGTGCTGTCGGTGGAACCCCGTGCACACATGCTGGGGCGCCATGTGGCCTTGGACACGGCAGGAAGGAGGGCCGGTGCCCCAGGATCCCTGGTGGGCACCGCCATGACCGGGGGCTCCAGGAGCCTCAGCCACTAGACAGGGGCTCTCTTGTGGCTGTATATGCAGTCTCTCCCCAGACCCCCCTTCGCTCTGCTGTCGAGTGCTTGCCCCCGCGCACCTGTCTGATCTGCTTGAACCCGTCTGGCTGCACGTTGGAGAAGATGTTGCATTCGGGCTGTGCGAGGATCTGGAAGGCCACGGCGCAGTGGTGGTTCTCCAGGGGCGAGATGTCATTGTAGCGGACGGCCAGCTCTGTGCGGGCATTGATCTGGTACCTGGGGTGGGGGTGAGGGGAAGAGGGCCTCAGGAGCCCGTACTCGCAGGCACCTGCGAGCCAGGGCCACACGCCCAGGTGTCCGAGCGGTGCCCATAGGGGCTGGAAGGCAGTCGTGCAGGGGCTGGTGAAGGTGACTGCCCTCTGCCCACACCAGGAACTTGCTTCTCCTGGCTCCCCTGGCTTCGCTACTGCCCCTTGAATGAGATGACCCCAAGGTTTTAGAGTCCCACCAGGTGGATACCCCCAGAAATCTCCACTTCTCCCAGCTGCACTGCCCTGTCTTTTGTCACGGCACCTGGTAAAACATTTCAATGTGTGCAGAAGGCAGACGGTTGGGGGACAAACAAAAGATGCTGGGGTGCAGGCCTGTGCTAGACCACTGCCAGGAGTGGGCCACAGGGGAAGGGAGGCCCACAGACTTCCATGCCTTGGAGTCCACTCAGTACGGGAAAAGGTTCTTGGGCACATTTGGGGTCATCATGCACACAATAAACTCGATACACAAATGCACGCATTTGACAGAAGGCAGCGGCGTGTCACTGCAAATGCAAACCAGTGCCACCTGGTCTGCACTTCAGCAGTTAGGTGGGGGGGCTCTGTGCCCTCCACCCCCAGGTGGGAGTGGACTGACACTTTAGCAAAGCCCCCACTGTCCGCCTGCCCGCTCAGTCCTAGCCCTCAGCCTTGTCCCTGTAGTGAACAGGCTGCAGAGGCTGCCCAGGGGAAGTGACATCCAGAGAATGAGGAAGGTGGGCTTCCTGCCATCCAGTCCTTAGGGGGGCATCATGCCCTGCTTTGGGGGGTTGGGAGGTCTGGTGCCGGATGGACTCTAGGCCTGTGTGGAGGCACAGCCTGGAGCCAGGACTGCAAAAGGTTGTGGCAGCGTCTTAGGGTTTGGTGACCTTGAAGGGCCCTGCACCAGGGACACCCAAGGCCAAGGGCAACATCCCGCAGTGGGGAGCTGTGTCCTATGGAGCCTGCACTGACCACTCTGACATGGGGCTGGTCTGAGTGTTGCGCTGAGGCCAGCGCCCTGGGGAAGTTGTTGCACACGTACGTGTTGTTGTATCCCGGGTGGTCCAGGTCGTGGCAGATGGCTGCGGTCATCAGGATCAGGATGTCCATCTGGGAAAACTTCTCCTGGATCAGGGAGGGGACATAGGGTGAGGAGGGGCAGAATGGGGTGGAAGATGAGCGATGTGGGTGGGATGAAGCCCCCTCTAGCCCTCGGCCTGGTGTGAGAGGACCTGCCCACTCTCTGGGGTGCGAGAAGAGGGCCCACTTGCTCCCTGAATCAGAGCACCCTCGTCTTGGAGGGTGCTGACACTCATGGATGGTGGTTTCCCAGGGAGGGTAGAGGGGCCGCTGGGGAGCCCCACGGCTGTCCTCTCCGGATGGGGGGCCGCATCCCTGAGCGGAGTCCCTGAGACCCACCTGGAGCCCGCAGAGCCAGACCATGCTGTACATCATCTGGGCCACGCAGAAGCAGTGCCGGAAGTTGTGGAAAGGGTTCTGCCGGTAGTTGTCGTGCACACAGAGCTGCGGGAAGTGAGAGGGTGCTGACGGCCCCGCTGCCCGCCTCCTCCCCAAGGGCGGGTATGGCCACAGGACCGCCCAGGCTTTCACCCTGGGTTCATGAACTCAGGTGTCTCAGGGAGCGAATGAGGAGCCACCTGGGACAGAAGGCTGAGGGACGAGCTGGAGGAATATGGGAGGGACCCTGGGTCCCTGTCAGCATGAGACCTTTAACGGGTATCTGATGTTTGGTTCTCAGTAATGTTTTATTTTCAAAAAGTTCTGTTGCTAAACACACACTCACACATGGCACACACTCACACAGTACATACACACGCACACTGATACCATACACGCACATTCACACACGCACACACACGAACACCCCACACGTTGACACAACCACTCACATGTCAACACACACATACCTACACATGCACACTTATACACAGTCACACACACACTCATAAACTTACACCTCTGCACAGGCTTACACTTATGCACACATACATGCATATACACACTCACACATGCTCCCACCTACAGGCATTCACAACATACAAATACATTATGCATGCTGACGCACACACTTACAAATGCACACTCATGTGCACACACTTACACATGCACTTTCCCCACAAACATGCACACACTCACACACTCATACACATTTGCACACACACGCTTACATGTGCCCTGCTTTGGAGCACACTGCTGCTTGTGTCTGCCCCAGGTCCTCACTGTTTTCTCGCTCATGGGAGCACCAGCTCAGGGGCAGAGTGTGCGGTGGGATGTAGAGACTGCCCGACTGTCCTGGCAGAACTCTCAAGGACACCCAGGGCCATTGGGAAGGTGCCCAATGGTCACTCCCATGTAACTCGATGAAACCGTGTTCAAGAGGGACCGGAGGGGCTGCCACTTACCAGCCACCTCTTGAGCGTGATGGGGTTGATGCTGAAGTCCCTGACCAGGCTGAGGTCATGGTACATGTGCTCCAGGCAGCTCAGCATCTGTGGGCACAGGAGGGGCATGGGTGGTCAGCACGCAGGCCGCCCGGCCCTCGCTGTCCTGGGAGATGTCGGCAGGGCATGCCGGGCAGCTTCTCCTTGCCCATCCCTAGGGGTGGGCCCTCCCCGCCCTGGGGCTCCTGAGAGTGAAGCCTGCTGATGGAGGGGGTTCAGGATCCCCCAGAAGGGATGCAAAGTTAGAAAAGCAGTCAATGGAACGGTATGCAAGAAGGAGCAGCCAGCGACTGGACGAGAGGGGGCACGCCGTGCCAAGAGGGCTGCACCAGAAATTACTTTCCTTATTTCTACCCGGGAGACACGGTCTTGGTGGGTCGGCATGACAGTCTGGGGTTTTGGGACTCGGCTCTATGGAACTCGGGCCTGGAGGTGGTGCCTCACAGACAGAAAGGCCCTCCCCCTGCCTGAGCCGGGCAGGGGGTGAGGGGCTCTGATGACTGACATCCCAGACACGCTTCACTGTGCCCCTCGGGGGCCTGCGGGGACTGAAGTCACTATTTAATGTGTTAAATGTGGAGTCCAGAAGGTGAACCCATTCTGGGTAAAGGTCCCCTCTCAAACCTTACTTCACTGACTGTCTTCTAAAGAAAGCCCTGCTCAAGTTGAAACAGATTTTGTGTTCCATCACAGAGATTTATTGCCACTGTTATCATTTGCTTAAACGACTCTCAGAGCTTTGGAGCTAATTAAGTGAGGAAAAAAGGACTGCATTCATTTAAATGAATGAAAGTTTGACAAAGTGGGCTTTGCCTCCTGGGATGCAGAGCCCGGGAGACAGACATCTGCGAAGCAGGGACAATTAAGATGTCACTGGGGGGGGGCAGTGCATGACACCCGTGAGTGCTCCTCTACCCAAGGCCGCCACCTGTGCCCTGCCTCCCTCATACCCGCCTGCTGACCCAGCACCTGCACAGCCACAGCAGGCCTCAGGGCGGAGGGTGTGCCCGATGCCCCCTGCCCCCGCCCCACCAGCCTGGGCAAAGCTCTCAGCCACCCCGTGAGCTGAATGAAGCGTTTGCTATGAAATCCGGGTCAAGGGTTGGAGAAGATCACGGAGAAAACCACCTGGTGCCACTTCTGTGGTGGGTCGGGGCAGGCGAGACGTGGTCATACATCTGTCCCCTAACTGGCAGCCAGGACAGTGTGGCAGGTTGTGGTGGGGCAGCTGGATGATGGGCAGTATGGAGGACTCAGGGGCTGACCAGGAGGCCCAGCCTGTATGCCTGGTACTTGGTAGAGAGGCAGGCTCGTCCCTGCAGACTGCCAGGGACCCCTGCCGTGTGAAGGCATGGCCTCCTGGTCCGTGAAGCGGGGATGCTGGGCATGTTGGCCCTGCTTGAAGGGAGAGAGGTGAACCACACCCACTGGGGGCTCTGACCTTCTCGGGGTGCCAGCTGCTTTGTGGGTGGCCAGATGCAGTTTGGGGGGGCCGAGTGAGCTGTTGAAGTTTTCTGGTATGACCCTTTGGTTGTTCATATTTGCTGCCCATTGTCCAAAACTCGTTGTGTCTCCAGGTTTGTGGAGGTCGGGGGTCCCATCTTCGAACATCTCTAGTTTGTCACTGCAGGCAGCTGGAGACTTTCTGGAAACCCTCACCAGTGCCATTGAGATGGCTGGTGGGAGCCCAGGCCAGCAGGCGGCCATGCAGCCTGCGTGTACGGCCAGCCGCCCCATGCGTCAGGGTCAGGGAGGCGGCCTGCCCATCACGGATGCGTGAATCCCTCATTCTTTCAATGTGCGGGCGCATCCCCTCTCTGGTCACGTAGACCTGCATCAGAGACAGGGATGGCAGCGAGTGCCCACACCGGTGCTGAGCCCTCAGTGGCCCCGGCTCCACTCTAGCCCCTGGTGGGCTGAGGTCAAAGCAGCATCAGGGATGGTGCTTTTTCTAGACGTCCCTGGTAGTGGTGCTTGTCCACCTGCTGGAAACAGGGGTCTGCACGTTCTAGGCCATCTGTCGTGGCCAGGTGCCCAGGGACAGGCCACCCTGGGTCATTCATTCAGGGGGAGCCACTGAGACCAGAGGTCTTCCTCATGCCTCTCGCGTTTCTCCGGGCCGCGTGGCCTCCCACACCTGGTCCCTTGGTGACAGTGTGTCCAGCTGGCAGGGACGGCCGCACATGTGCAACGCCTCCTGCTCCCGCAGAGCCATACTCCCGTCCTGTGTGCCACTTGGCTGGGTGTTTTGGAGCACATGTGTCATCTAGCTTGATGTCTGCTGGGGGACAGTCCCTTGGACACAGGCTGGCTCTCCTCGGGGTGGCTACGGTGGGCAGAGGCGGAATCCATGGGTCTTGGGCTGGTGCTGCCAGGCGTCTCCTTTGCTGGGAGAGCAGGAACCAATGTGTGAGCAGGGTTCCCTCGGGAGGGTCTAGCACCCTGGGTGCCAGGGCAGACTGGCGAGTGTTCCAGGAGCAAAGTCCCCTTTTCCTGAGATCTGCAGGGAGGCCGCCGCTGCCGCTCTCCTCCCGGTGGGCAGCTGGCTGGGGGCGGCCTTTTTGTGTGTCTCTGTTAGTGGACACCTGGAAAGAGTCCACAGAGTTTGGTGGCCTAATGTCTGTGATGAGAGACTTTTTGTGTTCTTGAGGTTCAGAAAGGAAGGGACACAGCCGATCTGATTAGAAAACTCGACTGAGCAAAGAAAGTCTCCGGTTTTGTGTTTTCTCAGCAAAGGGAAATTTTACAGAAACATCATCTACCTGCAGGAGACGCCTCGCCATCCCAGGTCTTGTCCTTGCACACGTCTGGGGGTCCCAGCACAACTCTCCCACAGAAGTCCACTCTTGGAGAGCTATTGGGGTCTGTGGGCAGCAGCTGGTTCACTGAGAGGGTGTTCGTGGGGTCAGCACATGGCCCCTGGGACTCACGACGGTGACACAATGATGCTCCTTGGTAGGGGGGGTATCTCCTGCTGTCTGGACCCCAGGGTTTGAGGCCCCTGCACTTGACCGCCTGCCCCTCTGTACCCCTAGTTTCTGAGTTCTGTCTCCAGGGACCCCTGTATCTACCAACAATCAGTTTAACTAAAGCCTGGAGAATCAAGTTTAAAAAACTGAAAAGAACAGAGAGGAGAAAGGCAAGGGGGAAGTGTGCTGCGGATGCCTCACCCACGTCCTGCGGACGCTGGCCCCAGGAGGCCCCTCACTCACCTCGTTGGGCTCCCAGAGCCAGACGTCGAAGGTCGGCTTGCGCAGGGCCTCTACGGTCTCCGGGGACAGCAGGTACTGGAAGGGACAGCAGGCGGCGTCAGCCTTGGTGCTGAGACAAAGGCTGGTCACCTCTGGTGGGCAGCGGATGTTTTTTCTGTCCCCGTCAGGGGCACCTGGGCACAGACTGGAAGGCCACATTCTACAAGAATTCTGGGAGGGGCCAACTCCAGGGACGGGCGCCCCATCGGTGGCTGCTCGAGGCAGGGCCAGAGCGCTGGGCACGGCCACACGGGCAGGAGAGGCCGATCCGGGCTGGCGGAAACGCTCCATCCCCTGACCGTGGTGGACGTTATGTGGACACACGAGTGTGTCCAGACCCGCGGTGCTCCGCATCTGCAGGAGATGAACTCCCTGCACGTAAGTCCCAGCTCGACCCTAACTCAGAAAACGTACAGGAAAGGGAAGCCGAGGGGGGAAATGTACTTGGTATAAATTCAGATACGCACTGAGAAGCTACTTCTGAGTTTCTTTTTTGGAGGGAAGCCTAGGAGCCAAGGAGGCTCTACAGGTCGGGGCCAATCGCCACAGGAAGCAGAAACTGATTTTAGACGTAAAACCGTCAGAGTGTTCCCCCAGGTTTTGGGGTTTTCTATTTTTTTTTAAGGAACTGCAGTAGAGCACTGAGACCCTTTGGTTTTGACCTAAGCTGGGCCTCGTGACCCCCTGAGGCTGCACATGAGATTTGGGTCACATTTTCCTACGGGAAATACACCCGTGTCCACCTGGAACCCTCAGATAACCGGCAGGGCCCCGGCCCCTGCGAGCAAGCATGAGCCCGCACACTAGCTCTCCAGGGTGTTGAACTTCAGTCTGGCCAGGCCGTTCGCTCATTGGCTGAAGGCACCATTCAGGTGCGTGACCTTCTGGGCTTGGTCGAAGACCCTCCTTCCAGTGCCCGGGACACTGCTGCTTCAACAGGGGCCCAAGGTCTCTCGTAACAGAGAAACTTTTTGTGATAGAAAAGCAAAACTTCTCACAACAACGATGTACTGTTCAGGAACAGGAAATCCAATAAAGCAAATTTTTAAAGATTTACTTAAAAACTTAGCTCTTACTTCCTGGTCTGGGACCATTTTTGCTAAACAAATGTTAAAGAGAAAAATTATTCGGCCTACGAATAACGGGCGCGTCAGTCCCACAGCCTGGGGTCAGGGCAGGAGCTGTTTTTACAAATAGCTGGACATCAGGGACCTGGTGGGGCCAGGCGGCCAGGGTGGCCGAGGGTGGGGGGCCCTGTGCCCTGGGGCTGTGGACACGGCTGCTGTTTCCTCTGAGGCAGAATGGCACCTTACCTTGGGATAAGTGGGGACATCCCGTCGAGGTGTCAACTTCTTGTTATTATCCAAAAAACTGTACTTACAGGGGCAGCTGGTCCTAGAGGGAAAACGCAAAGATCAGTCCATTGCTTTGGTCTCGGCGTCCGGTGGGCAGTGGACGGCGGGGACCTCCTCAGAGCAAAGACAAGCAACCCGAACCCCAAGCCAAACCACGAGCAGAACCCACAAACCCTTCTGGTCTCAGCTGTGGTGGGAGAGCAGTCACGAAGCCAGTGGCGTCTCATTGCCACCCCCCCCAGGGACCCGCTGGGCCTCCGCAGGTGACACTGGGGGCTGGGGGCACATTGCGGATAAGCTCCCGAAACCTAGCAAAGCACTCACCATAAAAACTTCAAATGACGTGGAAATAAAGTAAAATAAAAAAAGTCTAAGTCCCCACTTCTTTCCTCTTAAATCTCACACCCTGAAAATACCCGCTGCTGTTGGGGTGCCCTTCCAGACCCCCCAGGCACGGGCGTGCAGGGGGAGCCCGTGCAATTTTAAACGAAGATGGAATTGTACAAACTTACTCTCTGGCAAGTGGTTTTAGGATTTAATTTTTTTTAAGTAAAAAAAAATGATTCCAGAGAGAAGTGGGGGAAGGAAGAGACGGAGAAAGAGAGGAACACTGATTATTGCCCCTGAGAGGGGACTGAACCTGCAACCCAGGCACGTGCCCAGACCAGGAACTGAACCTGTGACCTTGCGGTGCACGGGTCGTTGCTCCAACCAACTGAGCCACACCAGCCGGACTGCTAACTGGTTTTATTCACTTAAAACCCCACCAAGTTGTTGGCTGTTGATTTCCTAGGGATCAACTCCATTAAAAGCAAGTCCTTTCCTGGCGCCCTGGGTGTGGCTGCCCTACATGTTATCACCCCAGCCCCCAAGACAGACCTCCAGGATGGGCCTGAGTTTTCCCACTGCACACACCTGGACAGATGGATCTGCTCTCTGGCTCTGTCGTCTTCATCACTCAATGTCAGGGTTACCAAATAAGAACAGAACAAAAGGAGCCAGGTGTGTTCTGGATGGAAAGCCACCGTCTGGTACTGGGAACAGTGTGCCAGCCTGTGGGGCTGTACCTGGGGGCTGGACTTGGGGGGCTACCCCAGGTCATCTGGCCGCTCCGTGGCCCCCTCCCCACCTGGGGACCTTAACTTTCTTGGACATGAACATGCTCGCCACCCTCCCGCCAATGGGGAGCACGACGGGGTGGGGGTGTCTGCTCCCCTCCGTTGAGATTCCCAGGCCAGTGGGCAGGGGACCAGCACATCGATGTGTCAGAGCAGTAGCCTGTGTGGTTTGTGAATAAAGCTCCACCTTCTGGGAGAGCCATTTAAGACCGTGAAGTAGGAGTCTCGAAGAAGTCCACATCCTTGAAGCCCGTATGTCTGCTCTGGGGAGTTCACCTTAAGAATTAGACCCAAGCAAACAGCTCCTCGCACAGAGGTATTCATCACCTAGTTGTCTGCTATTACAAAAACGCTGAATCAAACGAGAAGCCACCTAAATGGCCCCACTCGGGAACTAATTTAAACTGATTCATCAACAAGATGGATTGTCGCGTGTGATCTTTAAGGCGATTAAAAAAATGCTGTGCAGTGAGGGGACGTGGGGTGACAGGGAAAAAGAGACACTGCAGGAGAGGCACCGAAGGGGCTGGGAGAGCCAAGGTGCTCAGCCAGGGCGAGGACACAGGAGCCCACGGGTGGGAGGGCAGCGGGGCTGCAATGCGCCTCCTGGAAGAACACACCAGCTGGGCGTGGGTTGCCAGGTGACCCACTTAGTGACCACGACGCTGTAAGTGACAAAGGATGCCAACATAACATTCCTTAGTTCTCTTTCAAAACTAGATGCCTACACACCAAAAATCATCTGGGAAGTCGGGGCCCAGGCTGTAACTGGGGTCACGGTGGCTGCCATCCTTCCTTCTGGCGATTCTCGCCCCTCACGGGTCTAGCCTGGTGGGTTCACGTGGAGGCGGAGCCCCCTGCAGACGCAGGGTCATACTTCTGCCTCCCTTTTTGAGATAACAGCCTTTGGCATCACTGTGGTGGTGCCTGCCATTCCTCCCCTCATCCCGGCAGTCACAAAGACCACCAGCGTTGCTTGTGACAGCCTCCAGGTGGAGGGGAAGTAACAGGAGCCACAGAAGGAACAGATAAATGGTTATCAAACGAATGATTTCCGCTGTCACCCCGTGAAGGAGAAACCGCCTTCGCACATCACCGAGGGTGAGGGACTTGGTCTGTGCACCAACCAGACAGCGCCATTGTCACCTCCTTTCTGCTCTTGGCCCCTTCTTATGAGCCCCCACATGCGTGCTGTCCAGTCGATCCCATGCCTTTCCCAGCAGGGCTGCAGAAGCCTCACCGAGCAAGACTGTCAGACCGTTGGAATCCTGCTACCTCCTCGGAAACCCCAGCCTCGGGAGCGCCAGCTGGGTGCCTGGCAACTCATGCCAGGGCCTCCCCACCTCGCCCGTCGACCCTGCCTGCTCCCTCTGTGCCCTGTTGCCATGGGAACCAGCATCCTCCAGCTGACAGAGCAGCTGAGGTGGTGCCTTTTCTTTTCATTCTGTTTGGGGCCTATTTTTGCTGCATTTCCTGGGTTCTCAGCCTCCACCCCCTGGGGCTCAGTCCAGTGGTCAAGGCCACTTGTCTGGGATAAAGTGGAGATTACAGACCCCCAGAGCCCTCAGATGCCACCCACGTTTCTGCAGCCCTCCCCTGCCTGGGGTCAACCAGCAAGTTCCACTCTGTGCCCTAAATTCGAGCAGGCAGCTGGACCTCTTTCCTCGTGGGGGTAAAAACCGAAAAACCCCAGGTGTGTGTCTAGGGGGAGTGCAGCCTATTCTGGGGGTGTCTGTGAGTCTGCCCGCCACCTGACCACTATCCACTGTCTGCTGCTCCCCAAGAGGAAAGAGGTCTGGCTCCGGGGCCCTGTTAGGGGCGCTGTGTGTGGGGGGCTGTGGGTCCGCACTTCAGGCTCATTAGCCATTGGTGGCTGGGGACAGGTGCCTTTTTTCTCTCTGTCCTCCCCGAGAAGCGGGGCTGGGTCGACAGCCTGGGACAGAGGTGCGACTTCTCCCCCAGCAGGGCAGGGGGGGTCACATTTAACAAGCCTGGTCCCAGGACCCCGAAATGCTACACGGCACCCCTGCACCACTGAAATGGAACCCGCTCTCAGCAGAGCGCAAACCACACACTGTTCTGCTTCTCAGTTTGTTTCCCCCTAAAAAGGGAAGGGCTGTCCTCTCCGCCCCGAGTGGGCTCTTGGCCCCCGGGGCCAGGGCCGGACATGGGTGATGCTGCTCCAGACTCCGCCCGAGCCCGGGAGTCTGGTCCTTTCTGCTCTAAACGTGTCAGGGATGTTCGAGGCACCCCAACCCCCAGCCGCTCTGTTTCTGATTGAAGACTCACACTGACGCGTCTCCTGTCTGTCACCGAAGTGGAACGCTGTGGAACTGTCTGCTGAGAATGTCGCCTTTGGGAGCGGTTAGGATGCTGGGAGTCTTTTCTTTGGATTATGGAGCTGTGAGCTCTAGAATGTGCTCTCGGGGGAGGGGGTGCAGCAGAAGTGCCCCACCTTGTCGTGGTGAGCCGTAGCACCCACCATCCCTGGGCGCAGTCCACCTGCCCCGGAGCGCGCCCTGCAGATGACGGGCGTCCGATCTCCCCGGCCCCTGGTCCGCTTCCTCCCAGGTGCTCTGAAATCAGGAGCCCCCTCCCCAGGGTGTGCTGCGGGTGAATTGTATCCCACGTAACACGAGTGTTAAAGTCTCAGTCCCGGATGTGGGAGCGTTACTTCACCAGGAAATGGGGGTGTTACAGATGTGTAACTAGTTACATCTGGAGTAGGGTGGGCTCTCGTTCAATGACCGGTGTTCTTGTCGAAAGGGAATATGTGGACACAGACCCACACGCAGGGGAGGTGGCCACGTGCAGATGGCCGTAGAGACGGGGGTGATGTCACTACGACGATGCAGGGGACCCCAAGCACTGCTGGTGTCTGAGACTGGGAGAGGCCAGGACGGAGGCTTCTGGGGCAGTGTGGCCTCACTGATAACTCCCATTTGAGACTTGCAGCCTCCAGAACTGTGACAGAATACATGTCTATGGTTTTAAGCCCGAGTTTGTGGCCTCTTGTTACAGCAGCCACAGGCAAGTAACATGACTTGGACTAAATTTTGGTTTCCCCTTGCAATCTGACTGCAGGCCCAGCGCCCACAGAGAGCCCACCAGGAGCAGCACCCCGCCGCCCTGTTCCCACCTGGCTTCTGTAGAAAGGGAGGGAGAGAGAGGAGCGGCAGAGGGGGAGACACGCGGGGGCAAGACCGGAGAGGCCGGGGCTCCGGACGTGCCCTGGCTGCTCCGAGGGGGCGGCATTTAAACATTTGAGCAGGGACGAGAGGCTGAAAAATGCCTAGCGTTATGTGGGCTCTGAGGTGAAACCTGCGGGGGGAGGGGTGAGGCGACACCCCCAGAGGCAGGGAGGAACCCAACGGGACACCATCCCAGCCCGAGACATGCCCTTGGGGAAGGGGGTCCTTCAGCCACCGCACAGACAAGGGGCTGACGCCCACAGGACAGGCTCCGGGAGCCTTCAGTGTCAGGTTGGAGACCAGGACTCGAGTTTCAACCCTCTCCTCCCGGATGCCGAGGACGACTGGAAAGGCCACTTGTGCTGGACCCATGTCCCATTCTGAGGCCACCTGCCCTGCCTGGGCCTGGACAGAGGGCGGCCAAGCCAGATGGCCTCTCCCAGTGGGCACCACATCGGGTCACAGCCCTCTCACCACAGTGGACGTGGCACTCAGCCACGACAGCCAGTCTGAGGCCTGTTGGGAGGGGTTGGGGCCGACAGGCCTGGCTAACTGGGCAGTGGACTGGCCACAGGACGGAGTCTGGCATGGGGCAGGCGGGGCACAGGGGCAGCAGGGGCAAAGCCGAGCCATGTAAGTCATGAGCTGAGTGTGATACCATGGCAAGGGTCATTTAGGGTCCTTCCAGCTGCCAAACCAGGTTCCAGCCCTGGTGCTGCCCTGAGCAACTCCATCGCTGTTACGAGGACTGTCTCCTGTCCCCTAAAGAGCTCTTGCTACAGAACGATGAGGATGAATTATTCACGCAGTTTTCTGTGGTCACAAACTCCTCTACCCCAAATCAAATGGAGTGAGACACCCTGAAACCCAAGCTGCCAAGCAAGTGTGACATAAATGTGACCTGGTCCCTGTAGGACACATGCGGACAGGGCTCTGAGCCTGTCAGGTCACTCCCAAGCCCACCCAAGGCAGGCCAGCCCTGCTGGACTCTGATGGGACCGAGCTGTGACCATCCGGTGGCGACCATCCAGTGACGTGTCACTGCCTGCCCCTGGAAGGCCCTTCAGCACAGCCTCACGGCCTCACTCAGCAGGCTGCACTCCACTCTTTAAACCAGGGAGAGATCACCCAGCTGTGGGGGTGACTGTGAGACAGCTGGGTGCATCTGCAGGGCTGTACTGGGCCAGTCCCCATTCAACCCGAGGAGGCCCGGTGGGAGCCTCTGCAGCACTTGTTGGCGTGGAGCTCCAGGGGTGCAGGGCCACGTTATGACCACGTGGTCCCCTGGATGGGAAGTCCAGGCAGGACGAGAATTCAGCAGAGCAGGCTGGTCCCTGAGAGCAGAGCCCTCCGGCTGCCCCGCACACAGAAAGTGCCCAATGGGCTCGCTGCATCTGCCATCCCCTCTGCTGTCAGCATGCACCTCTGTCCCAAACCTGCCACCTGCTGTGACTTTGGGTTCAGGGAGAGGGTCCTACGGTGCAAAAATCCCACTTTCGAGGGGGGGGGTGATGAAGACTGGGGTCTTTTTTTCAGGAATTTTGGCTCCCTGGGGGCGTATGTGATGGACCCATTTCCTGTTTGGCAGCACAAGTGACTTCTGTGTACAGGACAGCTGGAGGCCTTTCTCCCCCCACCTGCCGCCCCGTACTATAGGGACGTTCCCTGCCAGGGAGGAGGACTTCTCAGGCACCAGGACACTTGTTCCCTGTAAGCCCAGAGCCTTTTCTTTTTACTGTTTTCTTTCTTTGAAAGTGGTGTCAATTTCTTTCAATCTATGGGGGAGTTAATCCTAACTCTTTGATCTGGAGGATTATTCCCCTTGATGCGCAGTCGGCCTCAGCCACCACGAACTCTCTTTTATGATAAGAAGCTCTGTCATTGGAAAGCAAATCCCCAGAGGAGCAGGGCCGCCTCCACACTTCACTCCCCTAGCCAGAGCTCCAGCTGTGCTTCTGGGAAAACAAAGACCAGAGCCCCACCCCCACCCCACCCCCACATCTCCACGGAGCCCCCACCCCCCACCTCCACTGGTTCACCCAGTGCAGACCTTACCTGTTGCTTCTGGCTGCCAGTTCCTCCCTCATCTTTTTAATGTCACTCTTGCATTTCTCAATCTCCACCACTTTCAGTCCTTCCACTGGGGACCAAGAGAAACAAGGGGTTACCATGGATACACAGGGAGGCTCTTGCAAGGCTGATAAGTGGGGGCCGCCTGCCTGTGTGTCTCTGGCAGGAAAGCTGACTCAGTGCACGGGCTCCCACTCCTGCCCAGGCCGCTGATGTTCAGGCCCTTCCCCCCATTCAGCTCAAACATCCTGGGCCTGTTCCGTGGCCAAGTGTGGGCTGTGGCCTTCATCTGTGGGTTTCTATGGGATGGAGGTCCCTCCTCCCTGCATCTTGACTCCCCTCCCCTGCCACCCACTTCTAGCTTTCTTTCTTCACACCCCTGAGCTGAGGACAAGGGACGGAGAAGTCTCTAATCAAAAAGAAAAGTAAAGTTGGGGTGGGGGGCCCGCATGTGGCCCCAGGGTACTAAAATGCAAGGAGCCTTCCCTGCAAGGACAAACATTTCATCGAGACTGGAGCAGATGGGGGTGGGGGAGGGTGCAGGTGGTTAACAGTGGGTGGGGAATTAACAGGTGATCCAGGATGCGCAGAACCTGGGCAGGAGGGCATCCCCGGAGCCCCAAGGCAGAGGTGTGCCGGAAAGGCCAGGTTGTCATCAAAGAATGAGCTGGGGCTTAGGTCTCCAAGTCCAAGTTCAACTTCCAGACCTTCGCTCTGCCCCAGAAATGCTGCCACGAGGCAGGCAGCTTTGGAAAGGCTTTTAGATTAGAGTCATTCACAAGAAATAGAAAAGATTGGCTTTGTTACTTTGTAATCACACCTCAATTTTTATGCAAAAAGACACGGCCCACGATGCCACTCTATTCCCCTTTTCATCAAGCCTGGATCTGAATACAGCTAAAAATAAAATGCTGAGATTTCCAAGGAAAACAAAGCGTCTCAGAGACTTCGGCAGCTCCTCCCGCCCCCCAGGAAGTGCTCTGGGCCTGGAGCGCATGTGGGGGAAACTCTCCGAGGGCAGCAGCGCCAGGGAAGCCAGCTGGAAACACCCCCACCCCCCGGCAGGTTTTCTAAACGTTCCCAGGGTCGGAGCCAAATGGGGGCAAGGCTATGTGAAAACACCACTTCTTTCTGCCCAAGGTGACCAGAATCCAGAGGCCCTGACGTTCAAATCTGGTCCTGGTGACTTCCTCCTGTGTCACGCCTGGGACACTGTCCCTCCTCTACCAGGACCCGGGACCAAAGCCTAAGGCCTTAAATACAAGTGGTTCAAACCAGCAGGGTGGCTGTGTTGGTGGCCGCTGCCAGGTGCGCTGCCACCGGTGAGAGGACGTTGGTGTGTTTCTGTTCGCTCGCTCCAAGCACACGCCCTTCCTCTTGCACGCTCTGTGCTGCGCTCTGTCTGGCATCACAGACCCTGTTAGGAAGTCCGTGAAAGCCAGGGGTCCACTTCCAAGAACAGACACATAGCACACAGTCGTCACAGCTGGCACTTGGGCAGGGGGACGCTGTGGGTGGCCTCCCTGGCGCTCCCAGACCTCGGTCTACACTGCAGGGTGATCACCCCACAGAGGAAGAACCACAGTGGAGCTGCGTCTGTGGGTCTGCCGGGGGCACACGGATGTCAGCAAATGACAGATTCAACGTGGGTGGCCAGACGGACCTCAGCCCTACCGACACAGCAAGGGCAGAAAATTCTGAAGAGTGAGCAGATCCGGAGGAGAGACCTGGCGCATGGCGTAGACTCGGGTCCGAGAAGCGGACAGACGTGGGGGAGGGATGGAGCTTGCAGTGTAAGGCTCACAAGGGAGCTGACCATCCCTCAGCAGGGAAGGTCCATGGTTACATTTATTATGTTCCCCACATCATTTTATACAAAATGATGTGTGATAATTGTAGGAAACAGGAAATACAGAGCATCCTGAAGAATATTTGAACATTTATCTGTGATTTTATGGGGGCAAAAACCAATCTGTTTAACATTATATATAATATATATAGTGAATATGTATATATATATACATATACATATATATTGGCATGCATCCTTCCAAACATTCCCCCCCCCCCATGCATTCTGTCTGTCTTAATGTGAAAAAGACGAAGTTGGGACCACACTATTCGTTCTGCTTTCTCACTCACTTTCCCCCATTATCTGTACATCAGAGGTGGTCCGTGTGTCAGCAGCTGCTGCCTAGCTCCCAGTGTTTGTGGGTGCGTGATGTTTGGACTCCCTGGCCAGTTATTGGGGGCAGTGTTAAAATGATGCCCCTTGGGCCACACAGTATCATCTCACTATCGTCAATCCCAGAGATTCAGCATTCATGGCAATTACCTTAATGAAGGGCCTGGTTGCTAGGGAAATAGATGGTGAGTAACGAGATGGCAAAAGTCCTGCATTAATCAATGGAAGAGAAAAACAACCAGTCGTGGAATTGAAGAGCGGCATGTGGGGCGGGTGGGCCCAGACAGTGACAGAGCGCACCCCGGGCCGGGCACCAGCAGACACGGCCCCTGCCTCTGAGCCCTTTTGCAGACATGGGTCTGCGTTTGGGAGGTTGCACAGCCTACCGCCTGGACCCACGGCAGCCCTGCCTGCCCCGTCCAGGGAGGGAGAAAGCCTGGAAGAAAAGCTGGGCCTCCCCTACAGAGTCCTGCGCAGACTCCAGCCAGACTCAGGCTGCAACTGGATGCCAGTGTCCCACATGCCGCCCCACCTGTCCATCTCGAACCTTAAACAGAGGTGGGCGTGGACCAGAAACCCAGATGACAGCAGAGGCTCCCCAGCCTCACGCAGCAGGGGAGGCTGCTGCAGTTTATTCCTCCCAGCTGGGCCCTGGCCCAGGCCAGCTGCCTTGCAGGAGCACCCCTGGACACCTGGCTGTCCTCCCTCAGACTTTAGAGGTGGTTCCATGGACAAGCCACAGGCCACAGAGAGAAGGGACCTCTAAGGATGATTTTCTAAGAGGGACTCTGGCTTTGGGGACTGGGCCTTGCTCATGGGCAGGAGCAGCAGAACAGGTCTGGTGGGAACTCTGTTCTCTGCCGGCCTCCCCGGTCTGTCTCGCTGGGCTTGGGGAAGAGGCCTGGGGGCAGCGAGGCCCTCCCGCAGCTGCAGAGCTATTGGAGCTGTTTAAGACCATGGGAACTGTGTCTCAACACTTCCTCCAGGGACGTTGGTGAGAATTCGCATGAAGCACATTTCCCGAGTGACGAGGAAAGTGAGGTTGGGTCTCAGCTTCAAGTCTCCTGAGCTGTTTGCATGACCCACGGGGCCAGCTCTCCCTGTGGTTAAGCTCTGGTCCAGGCCCTGGGCACACAGCGGCCCTGTGCCCACCGCAGGGATCCCGGAGCAGCAGTCAGTGTCCAGCAAACAAGGAAGGAAGGAAGTGGGGCCCCTGTGACACTTCATCTCCAACCAGGAAGCAGGTGCACACTGGGGTGTCCTTTGTTTACAAAGTACCTCTAAGCTAAGCAGGACCCCAGATTCCTGGGAGGTGACGAACATTTCACATGGAAAGGAAGAAGAGCTTTTAAAGTGAATTAAGGAACCGGAGACATTTACATTTGATTGGGAAGAAGTATATGTTTGAGAAGGTGGGAAAAAAAGCAGGAAATTCCATTTAAAACAAGCCAAACAATGTCAGGTTCCCTACAGGTGGCCGGCACCAGCTGGATGCCTTCCTGAACTGAGAAGCAGAAAAGAGCTCATACACACACCAGACAGAGCACGCAGGAGTGTGCACACGACCATGGTGTATGGACGTGTATGTGTCTGTGTGTGTTCACATGAGTGGGCAGCCAGGAGGAGGTGGGGAAGCGGGGTCTGCCCAGAGCAGAGGCTCCAGAGTGGGGTGGGGGGGTGGAGGAGGGGGCCCCCCCATTGTCAAGTCCACCATTCCTAGACCACTCCCGCCCCCTTCCTGCTCCCAGGAGAGGCCAGCTCCCTCCAAGGCATCCCTGCACCCTGGTGCTGGAAACACGCACAATTGGTAAAAACAGCAGCAGCTTCTACCTACACAGCCAGCCTGAACGTGGAGGAGAAGGGGCGATGCCTCTTCAGGTATTCATGCTGATTTGCTGGATTTCTGTGGTTTACCTGAAGGCCCTGTGGGCAGATGCCCTCCCGCTGACAGACGAAGCAGTTCTGGAGAATTCTGGGCCCCGACAGGCCAGGGGAGAAGATCCTATGGGCTGCGCTGCGCCCTTTAATGGTCCTTAGTTTGCATGGTGCTTCAAGGCAAAATAAAAAACTCTTCTTGACTGGATCGTCGTCCCCATGGCCAGATGCTGGAAGCCACCCAAGTCGAGGTCAACAGAGTTTTCTCTAGGGGTCCTGAAAATTCTTTCCTGGCCTCTTCAACTGGCCTGTTTGCAAGTAACAGTGGGCTTTGGGGTGGGCTTCCGTGTGGGGAGCAGGAGACGCGATAGGCAGAGGGCAGGAGAGGGAGGAGAGGAGGCGGAGCAGGAGACACCTGCCACTGCCCCCGGATATTTGCTTGCCTGATGGTGACCTTCCTTCTGTACATGGAGATGGGGGCTCGGCAGCAAACGTGTCTCATTTTCTGTGTTCTTTGGCTGAACCCTTTCCCAGGTCTGGAGGACCCCACGCTGTGGGGTTTGGTGGGAAGCTGAGCCCGCCTCCCACTGCAGAAGATGGAAAGGCCAAATGCTCACTGTGGGGGTCTGAACTGTGTGCTCTCCCCAAAGATGTGCTCATATCCCAATTCCAAGAACTGTGCACGGGACTTTATCTAGAAGACAGTTCTTGGCAGATTTCTCAAGATGAGATCATCACGAGACTAGGGTGGGTTTTAAATCCAAAGCCAGGTGTCCTTAAAAGAGATAGGCGGAGGGGACTTGAGAGACAGAAATGCAGGTGACAGAGGCCCTGTGAAGGCAGTTTGGAGTGATTTGGCCATGACCCGAGGGTGGCTGGCAGCCACCTGCAGCCAGAAGAGGCCTGGAACAGATGTTCCCTCAGACTCCAGAAGGAACTGACCCTGAAGATGCCTTGATCTTGGACTTCTGGCCTCCAGATCTGTGGGAGAATCCACTTCTGTTGTCTCAAGCCTCCCAGTTTGTGGCACTTTGTCACGACAGCCACAGGACACTAATACACTTTTCATGGCCTCTCCTGAAGCTAGGGTGTGGCCACACAGTTCCCCACTGTCCAGACTTGGAATCTGGAGCCAGGCCACAGAGAAGCAGCCCGATGTCTGCAGCAGTGGCCATGGGGCCGAGAGTGGATGAGAACAGAGCACAGGCTCCGCGGCAGGCTCCACATGGGCGGGGCACTCAGCGTCCTCACGGAGTCCGAGAAGCTGGGGTTCGGAGTGTCTTTCCTGTGGCAAAGCTGGGCCCTGTTCCTGAACCCTCCTGGTCACCATGGGAGCTCCCCAAAATCCTTTGGGAAAAGGCCCTTTTCTGTCAACGCAGCCACAACCATAGTGTCTGGCTGCAGCTGCAAGCCCAGCGGTGTGTGGCCTGTGTTCTCAGGCCTCCTTGCAGGGGACCCAGCCAGAAGCGGAGGATGCTGACCTGTCACGGAAGGGTAGGCAGCAGGCAGAGAGAACATCAGGTCCCACCTTCATTAACTTTTCTGAGTTGCTGGGTGGACTTGAGCAAAGCACTGATCTCTTTGTGGCTTCTCCATCTCAATGGGGAAAAGGAAACTGTTTTGAAGTCGGAATGGCGAAGAGGACTTAAAAAATGTCAATGCCCTTTGAAAAGTATGACTGCATGAATCACGTTTCAAGTTACTTAGGGGAGTTGCTTTTTGCATGACCCTAAAAACCCGAGCAATTCATACGAGGTAATGAGAGGTGACATTAGCCAAGTCCACAGGAGGTGAATCAGCTGGCTACTGTTTGGTGCCACCACAGCCCCGATGGCCTCGAGTCTGGATTCTGTTTAGTCATCCCTGGAGGTAACAGATATGGCGCTTTGAACCGCTACCCTTTGCCCTGACAGAGACAAAGAGCGCCCCACCCCCACCACACTGGGAGTGGGACGGGGAGCCGTGAGGCACACACGATTCAAGCACAGCTCCTTATTTGTGGACAAGGACATAAAGGACGTGTGACTGGAAGCTGTTTTCCTCCCGTAATTTTAGCTTTTGGTCACTGAATCAAGACCCAAATTGACTCTTTGCTTTCTAGCAGGTTGTCTGCTGTCCTTTGTGTTGACGGGGAAGCGAGAGGTGCTGATAGTAGACACGGACCCCAAAACTGCAGTGAGCCAGTCAGCGTGTCCTCCTTCATGGAAAAAGAGACACACAAGGCGTCCAGCAGGAGCGCCTGTCTGGAGGTCTAAGCGAGGGCTTCCTGTTTTCCTTCTGTTCTCTTCTGCCTGGAAGGAGCACTTTCTTTTTTTTTTTAATTATTTTTTTGTTGTTCAATTACAGTTGTCTGTATTTTCTCCTAACACCCTCGAAACCTCCCTCCCTCCCTTGCTTCCACCCTCCTCCTTGGTTTCGTTCATGGGTCCTTTATAATAGTTCCTGAAAACCCTTCTCCCCGCTGTCCCCTCCCCCCTCCCCTCTGGCTATTGTTAGATTGTCCTTAATTTTAATGTCTCTGGTTATATTTTGTTTGCTTTTTTCTTTTGTTGATTATGTTCCAGTTGAAGGTGAGATTATATGGCATTTGTCCCTGCTGCCTGGCTTATTTCACTCAGCATAACGCTCTCCAGTTCCTCCCATGCTGGAGAGAAGGGTGTGAACCAGGAGGGCGTTCTTCCCAAGCCCTTACTGTAACCTGTGACCGTGTACTCGCTACTTTTTGAAAGCTCGGATTAGTCTCGGGTCCAGCCACGGTTACCGTTCATTTTTAGGCACCTCACAAAGAAAAGACCTCACACTTCCCTCCGCCTCTCACCACCGGTTTATGAGGTTAATTTAAATAGAGGTTCAAAGACAGGGAAGCAAAAAGGAAACAAGCTCCACTCACGTTCCACACGCTTCTCTAGCACGGCCAAGTGGTTTGCGACTTCTGCTTTGAGTTCGTTGATTTTAAACGCTCTAGGAATGAAAAAGAACACAAGATGTACGCAATAATAAGATCCTCAAAGTTGAAAGGGGCACGGCAAACAGCTGTTGAATCAGCGCCAGGGAGGAGGCGTGCGGGTGGGCAGGCGAGGCACGGGCGTAAAGACGCTAGGGGTTGCTTTAAGGAACCTGCACTGTCTGGAGGTGGAAGGGAGGAGAGACAGATACCCTCAGACTGTCTGGAGGGTATCTGTCCCCCAGGGTACACAATAGCACCCTGCTAGTGGGGGGGGGGTTGGGGAGGATGTTTTCTTCCCCAGCTTGGGAGTGAGGGGGCACTCTGTTCTCAGCTGGGACAGCCCTGCCCCTGGGCACAGACCACCTCAGGGGACCTGGTGCACCCTCTCCAGGCTCCAATCCTTCTGTGAAACAATTTTTAGGCTTTAAGAAATCACCACCCATAGGCCCTCTCCCCATCTGAATTCCCCTGGGGCAGGCAGTGAGGCACCGTGGTGAAATATCTGGGAAACGGCAAGTACTGACCCCAGCACTGGGGGGTGACCCAGAGTGAAAGGGACCCGAGTCTACACAGGATCTCCGTGAGAAAGCCTGTTTCAAAAACGGTGGTGATTCCTGTGGACTGAACTCTGAGTCTCAGAAGAGCCTGGTGAGAAAATTCTCAGCAATATGAGCTCTCAATCCAAAAGCTCCACCCCCCCGTCACGTGGCCTGTGACAGGAGGCAAGTGTTTGCTCGACCCCACCAGTTCCTCCAGGTAAGTGTCTGCTGGTCGAGAGGGCCTCGGAGGAGGGGCCGCTGCTGCTACAGAAAAGAACGAGTGTCTACCTCCGGAGATGACGTGATTTGAAGAGTCTGTACCTTGAGAATTGCTCTGCGACCTGCGTCAGCACACTCTGGATTAACTCTTCTTTTTCTGCAGACCAAAAGAGAAAGACAGATGAAAAAAGGACAGGGTCTGTGGGGCAGTGCAGCCTGCGGCCGTGCTCCGTGGGCCCGTGGCGCTGACGGTGTGGGAAGGAGCGGCCGGCCTTACCTGCACCGAGGCCCAGGCCCCCTGGCAGCACCAGGCCCTCTCTGCCCCCCTCCAGATGCTCTTTCCATCCTGGACCATTCCAGGCTGCCCACCTGTCTTTCCATGGCCTCTCAGCAGAGTGGCCAGGGCCATCAGCACCAGCTATAAAACGCAGGCAGGTCAGGGCTCTAAATGGAGGACGTTTTCCTGTAGTGACCTGGTGCATTTTATGAGGGCAATTGCTATGACACAGAGAGTTCAAGGCATATTTCAAGTGCAAAACACGGTGTTCTCATGGTGGTCCAGAGAGCGGAAGCAGTCGAAAGTCTGCCCCTTTGTTGCCTGGCATGCAAAAACCGGGCTGGGTGACTGGTTTTATGAGGGTGAGGTCCCAGGCTGAGTATACCCTGCCTGGTTTCCTGTTTCCTGCCTGGCCCAAAGCCAGATACCTCACAGGAAGCTGTGGATGCTCCCAGACCTGTCTTCTCCAGCAGGTCTGCGCTCCTGGGAAGGCAGCAATCGCTTCCTGGCCCCAGCTGGCCATCAGTTCAGGCCCAAGCACACTGAGAGCCTGCACGAGGCTGGGTCCAGCTTTCGTGGGACCTGTGCTGACGCTCTGCCTAACCCTTCACCCAAACCAAAAGCAACCTGCCCCAACAAACACGAAATCCCGATATTCCAATCGGGCAACAGGGCTTGAAAGCTGCCAATGGTCCCTGACCTCGGGTCTCGTTTCTAGGAACCAACCCTGCCCGTGCGCAGAAATATCTGTCAGTGTCATTTCACGCAATGAAAACTAACACCCCCACGTCCTCCAAATGGCACTAAATACGTGACAGCGTATCTGTCCTGTGCAATCACGCTCTGGGCTCAGAAATATCTTGGGAAATGGTCATGACTATTGTCAAAGCGGAAATAGAAAAAGAGTGCAAAACAGTGCAATCCCATTTTTTGAAACATTCGGAGGATATACTCCAAAAAACTAACGGTAAGTATTTTTTGGCTGTAAGATTATATGCAAATTTTATTTTCTTCTTTTTGCTTCTCTGTATCCTACACATTTGGACAGTGTGGCTCACTAGGTTGAGCGCTGGCCTGTGAACTGAAAGATCACTGGTTTGATTCCTGGTCAGGGCACATGCTTGGGTTGTGGGCCAGGTCCCCGGTCAGGGGCATGGGAAAGGCAACTGATGGATGTTTCTCTCCCACATCGATGTTTCTCTCTCTCTCTCCAAAAAAAATAAATGAAATCTTTAAAAAATAAACATATGTTAATTTCATTTAAAAAAATTAGAAAATTAATCCATCTAAATTTAACTCCTGAGAACTCATCCCGAACGGAAGGGTAGACCAGGCGACCCAAGGTCCCCTCTGACTGAAGCAATTCCATGACTTGAGGGAGCGGAAGGAAAACGTCCTTTTGTTACATCCCTTGATGGGAGAAGAGTAAAACTGTCAGGGACACTTGCTCGGAGCTGTGTGTTGAGCTGCCGCTGACCCAGGGCCCTGGGCTTCTGAGCAGCCCACAGCCGCTGGGGACACAAAGAGGTGACCCACTGGCAAGAAACACCAGGGAGAGGCTTGACCTACTTCCTTGGTGAATCAGCTGGACTTCAGATCGCTTGTTCTGAAATCTTTGGCAAAAGTAACGTATCCATAACCTCCCAGAGTCAATAATCTCGAAGTTGTGAGATAAATTTAGAAGGCCATGAAACAATTGACATTTATAGACTACTCCACCTAACAACAGTGAAACAGGTGTTTTTTTCCAGGTGTCTAGGAAGCACGTACCAAGACAGACCACGTCCTAGACCACGAAGAATTGAAACCATGTAGAGTATGTTCTCTGACCATAAGAGAATCAAACTAGAAATCAGTAACAGAAATACAGCACGAAAACCGCCAAACACTGGGAAACTAAACAGCACATGTCTGAGTAATCCATGGGTTGAAGAGGAAGCCTTCCTCTGGGAAAATGTAAAAAGGCATCCAACCAAATGAAGATGAAAATACATCACGTCGAAATCCAGCCGTGAGACACAGCGCAATGCCGGGAGGGTCGTTTACAGCACCAAACGCTTCCATTCAGAGAGGAAAAGTCTCTACCCAATGATCTACGAATCCTGAAGAAGAAGAGCAAAATAAACCCCCAACAGCTGCAGAAGCAGGGAAGGAAGGAAACAAGAAAGAGCAGAAATCAATGAAATGGGAAATGGAAAAAACAATTCAGAAAAGCAATGAACGAAAGAGCTGATAATTTAAAACAGCAATAAATTGGCAAACTTCTAGGAAGGCTGACAGAGAAACACGGAGAGAAGACGCAGGCCAGCAACACCGGAACGAAAAAGGGAGCAAGCATCATGACAGACCCTGTGGACAGTGAGGGCAAAGTGAATACTCCGAACAACTTCACACACAGAAACTGGACATCGCTGATAAAAATGGGCCGACTCCTGGAAAAGTGCGAACCACCCCACTCTTTTGATATGAAACAGGCAATCTGAATAGACTGTAACTATTAAGGAAATTAAATTTCACATTTAAAAACTCCCCCAATGGTATTTCCAGGGGAAGGTGGTTTCACTTAGAGAATTCCACCAAACATTTGAGGAAGGATTAACACAAATCTAAACAATTTCTTCCAGAAAACAGAGCCTGAGGGAACACTTCCTGATTCATTTTATAAGATGAGGATTAATTTGATACCAAATCCAGACAAAGACAATCAAAAAAAGGTAACTACAGACCAACATCCTTCATGAAAACCGATGTAAAAGTCCTTAAAAATATTAGCCAATGGAGTTCAGCAATATGTAAAAATAATTATGTATTGAGATCAAGTGGGGTTTATTTCGGGGATGCAAGGTTGGTTCAATATTCCCAAATCAATCAGCATAATCTACCATATTTACAGGCTAAAGGAGAAAAAAACTCATATGATCATATGAATTAATTCATAAGAAGTACCTGATGAAATTCAATGCCTGTTCATGACAAAACGCTCAGAAAAAACAGGAAAAGAGGGGAATTTCTTCAAGTTGATCAAGAATCTACAAAAAGCCCACCGAGAACGTCGTCCTGGACGGTGAACAAGGGAGTGCTCTCACCTGAGACCGAGCCTGCGCAGGGAGGGGGGGTGTCGGATCTTGCTCAGCACAGCGCCGGCGGTGCCAGCAAGCACCGCAGGCAACAAGAGGAAATGGAAGGCGTGGGAGCTGATGGGAAGAAATAAAACTCCCTTTTTGCTAATGACCTAATTGTCTACATAGAAAATTCCCAGGGCTCTACAAAAAAAAAAAAAAAGAAAACAAACAAACCCTCTTAGGACTAATAAGTGAGTTCAGCAGGTCACAGGATATGAGATAAACATACATAATCGGATAAACATACATATTTACACATATGAGCAATGATCATACAGACACTGAAACTAAATCACAGTACCATTTACAAACACTTAAAAACTGAGGTGTGCCCTGGCTGGTGTGGCTCAGTGGATTGAGCACTGGCCTGGGAATTGAAAGGTCATGGGTTCGATTCCCAGTCAGGGCATGTGCCTGGGTTGCAGGCCAGGTCCCCCACTGGGGGCGTGTGAGAGGCAACTCATTGCTGAATCTTTCCCATATCCATGTTTCTGTCTCTCTTTTTCTCCCTCCTTTCCTCTCTCTCTAAAATAAATATATAAAATCTTTTAAAAAACCCTTAGGTGCAATTAGAACAAAGCATATGCAGAAGAGGTGTGCTGAAAACTGCAAGACCCCACGGAAGAAATGAGAGGAGACGCAAATCAGGGAGGCTTCCACATGGTGAAGGAGCCAATGCTTCCCAGATGATAGACAGGTTTAACGCAAGTCCTATCAAAACCGCAGCAGATTTTCTTTGTAGAAACAGACAAGATTTTCTAACATTTATGTGGAAATAGAAGGGAACTAGAATAGCTGAAACAATTTTGAAAAAGAAGATAAAACAGAGGCTTTGCAGATCTAATTCGAAAACCTATTATACAGCAACAGCAATCAAGGCTTTGTGTTGCCGGAAAGACTCTGAGGGCCAGACACAGAGGCCACAGACCCAGAATCACAACCATACGAACACACACAGCCGGTTTTTGGCCAGCATGCAAACGCAGTTTGATGGAGGAAGGGGTCTTTTCAACAAGTGGTGCCAAAGCTGAGGAACATCACAGGCAGGAAAATGAGCCCGACCTAAACCTCAGAGTTTACATAATAATTAATGCAAAGTGGACCACAGATGTAAAATATAAAACGATAACACAGGGGTGTCAAACGCATCTTCATCGGGGGCCACATCCGCCTCATGGCTGCCTTCAAAGGGCTGAATGTAACTGTAGGACTGTGTAAACATAACTATCCTTAACAGTTAAGCAAGAGCTCAGCGCTGCTGCCAGGTAGAAACAAGGTGCCGGGCCGGATAGAACAAGGTGGTGGGCCGGATTCAGCTCGAGGGCCTTGTGCTTGCCACCTGTGCTGTAACACTTTTAGGAAAAATAGGAGAAAATCTTCAGGACCTTGAACTAGGCAGGGAATGCTTGCTTGACACCAAAACCACAAACCATAAAAAGAAAAATCGATAAACTGGACTTCTTTACCACGAAAACTTTTGTTCTGACAAAGATCGTGTTCAGAGGATGAAGAAACAAGCTCCAATCATGGAGAAAATACTGGCAAACCACACGTCTGACAAAGAGTTGGATACAGAATTCAGAATCCTGTCCAAACTCAACAGTAAAAGCCAACCTGAACTTGGGCAGGAGAGGCGAGGAGACGTTTGACTGCAGAGAGCACACACACAGAGGAAGGACAGGAGAAGACGTGAGGGTCGGTAACCATCAGGAAACATGCACTAAAACCACAGAGAGATTCACTGCACCTGGACCAAAA